ACAAGTGTGATCAGCTAACGCATTCATTCCCTCTAGATCAACACTTGGTCAAAAAAAGAAGAGGTCCGACCGGTAACGGTGGCAAAAAAATGAACTAGCTTCAATCCTTTCCATATACATGCCCACTAGTTTCAACTTCTTTGCGATTAGCTTACCTTCTCTCCTTTCTTGAGCTCCGTCATTGCTCTCGAATGTTCACCATCTGTCAGCGTATCAAGAAGATCATCAACAACCTAAGAATACCACAATTGCATACTTGAATTATCCACGCGACGGAAGTGAAAAGTCACCTTTACGAAGTGAGCTCCTGCATCGGCTACCATGTCTCTCAAAGACATTACATCTGCCACTGTGGAACGATCACCGTACGTTCTGAACTATTTTCATATTTTTTAGACAAACAGAATGTAAAACTGTACTCAGAGATTCAAGCTATTAGAGAAATAACATATCAGTTTTGAAATGAGAAACACGAAACGGGATGAGTTTCGAAAAGTTAAAGTGAAGCGGTCGTAGAATGCACGACATTACACAATGACTAGAACGAGTTATAAAAGAATAGTTATAAAAGTTATAAAAGAAAAGGTGTCCATGACTAAACAAAACAGCTGCCCGCTTCCACGGGTAACTTTGTCTAATGTATGGACAGCAGCACAACACCACTGAGCAAACGGGAAGATTGCAAAAAAAGAAAAAATTCTGGTACAGCAAACCAGACCTCAACAGTAGATCCGAGTCTCGTTTTGTGAGCGTGGCCCATGTTGAGTCATACTGCGGAGCAAATGAAGAGAACGGTCCATAATTCAAGTAGGTTACCATAGATTGCCCAGATAACCTAAAATGAAATATTTAGATGAGAATTGAACTTGAACGTATCTTCAGGAACCTACACACCGAAGTAACTCCACAAGAATAGCACATGTGCAAGCAGTGTCAACTGTCCGTTCGAGCACGAACGGAGGAGGTCGTATTTTGCTAATGGTGTAAAGGGGCGCTATCCCAGGAGACCACCCACTCCATTTCGCCCTGTCTTCCCGTTTAACCGCTACTTTTTTAAAGACCCTGCGGTGTACAGTGATGTTATAAATATTATGGTAGATTAAAATACCATGCATTTATCTCTAACTTGATCGACATGAAAAGGAGAACACTGTCTGAGGTCGCAAAGAGAATGACGCAAATTAAGCCAATGCAGTCTCAATAAAACTAAATCGCATCTCAGGTTACGCTAACTCATAACGCAACTTTGGTCAGAATGGCCGACTTTCACGAGCTGCAACAGGATGGAATACGCTTTCAACAGCCTCCGCGACTTTGAGCCAAATGCGTGTGAGGCATCTAAGAGCAGGACCTGCTCGCGTCAACCAAATTATTCAAATGGTCACGATTGTTTTAAATGCATCTCACTGTTCGGACTTGATAGGGAGCAACGAAGAGCAGTGCTATGAGAGGATTGACTGTTCAGACTGACATTCTATAGAGGTTGAAGGTTCTATAAAAGCCAGATTTTTGGAGAAAGTTTTTTTTCAAGCAGAGTTTGGTGCTCACATACAGATCACAGAAACAAATCTCAGCTTCCTAGGATTCCCCACTTCCACCGAAATAGGTTTCTCTAGAAAGCTACGATTGCTGCACGCCCAAAAACTCGAATTTACTGCTAAAAACTCAATAAAAAAGTTCGAGCGTATTTTTCGAAAAATAACACTTCGAAAAACGACCAGGTGCTACTGGAAAGGTCAACCCCTCCACTTTATTGCGATCTCTGAAGGAACGTCCTAAAAACTTTTGGTTTTCTAAGAGAAAAATTTTTGAGCTTTCCTAAACCTCACACAGCTCTTTCGGAAGTCGCATCTGAATGATGCAATGACCTTTAAAGGAAGAACTGCTCATTGGGATGCATCGAACTGCTTAAATGTGAGTTCTTTTCTATTATTAGAAGATCCCGAGAGTGAGGAGATTATGTCGGTTTGGAAAGAGTTACTCTACGCTTTTCTCATTGTCGCCGTGTGAAAGAAATCTGGTGCACTCGCCCGTGAGAACAGTGATCTACTCATATTAAATTGGGAACACCATGGCGCATTCCATAGAACTTGATTAGAACTATGACAGAGGTTGCATCGAGACCTCTAGGGAAGGGGTGTGTCAAAATTTTGAAAATTTCCGAACACGACGGTTGACCCTGCGTGCAAGATGTGATTTATTCGGAGATTGTTGGCTCAACCACATAGCCAAAATCTATGAGTCAGTTCAAGGAAAAACCTTGCAATACCTGTGATCTCCAAGACTTAACATGCCGGGCGTGCCTTCTTCCAATGGTCCAACAATATCGCCAAGCTTCAAACCTTTCTTTTCTGTCTCACCAATTACATTTAAAACAGTTGCTCCATCCTAAATAGCGTATGCTACAACGGTTTGCCTGTACGCTTCTCCATCCAAAAATTCAAAGCGAAACTAGATTAATCTGTTCTCCTAC